TAACACTACGTGGCAAAGAAAGTTTTAAAGATTGATAGATTAATTTGGCATTGAGAGAAATATGGATAGTATATCATTAGATCGGTATTGAGTTTGGCTCATATTGTAGGTATTGAGTTCGACTCATATTGTAGAGATTGTTGTGGCTAGGTAACTAGGGGCATGGGACAGTCCGAGATATTATTGTAAACTGAGTCTTATTATTATTATTATTATTATTATTATATATATATATATATATATATATATATATATATATATATATATATATATATATATATATATATATATATATATATATATATATATATATATATATATATATATATATATATATATATATATATATATATATATATATATATATATATATATATATATATATATATATATATATATATATATATATATATATATATATATATATATATATATATATATATATATATATATATATATATATATATATATATATATATATATATATATATATATATATATATATATATATATATATATATATATATATATATATATATATATATATATATATATATATATATATATATATATATATATATATATATATATATATATATATATATATATATATATATATATATATATATATATATATATATATATATATATATATATATATATATATATATATATATATATATATATATATATATATATATATATATATATATATATATATATATATATATATATATATATATATATATATATATATATATATATATATATATATATATATATATATATATATATATATATATATATATATATATATATATATATATATATATATATTTGTAACTCTAGTGAACCCTAATTATTAGACAAAAATAAAGGAAATTATAGATGCTCTATAGTCGTAGAAGTATGTATTATTGGCTGAACTGCGTTGACAAATATCGACTATTTTGAGTGTCTTTTACTTTCATTTTTCTTTAATCTTTTATATTTGTTCTTGTTTTAACGATCAGAATATCACCTTCTAAGTGAATGCAAATTAAAAAAAAAAAGTGATTGAGACATCTAGAAGGAGAGACGCAAACATTTGGAATAAAATTTAGGCTTTGCTTATCCTAAAAAATACTCAAAACTTTCTTTAGAAGGTCTAAATAAAATGCATTTATTATGTGATTCTAGTATCGAAGATAAAACACGTCTTCTTATGTGTTGAAAAGATGAAAATGCACTACGGTTTTCTTCTCCCTTTGGTGTTCATATCCTATTGTAATAGGAAAATCTTTTGTCTCCTCACACTAGTCGATACTCCTTCATACATATTTTGGATAGTTCGAAAATGGACAATCCTTACTCTTTCTTATTTAAGGATTTCTAAAAAAAAAACTCTTTAGACACTTTATCATACGCCTTCTCCGAGTCAATGAAAATTAAGTGCAAGTTTTGTTAGTCTATATGATACTTCTCCATCACATGTCATAGTAGATAGATCGCTTCTTTGGTTAACCTCTCAAACATAAACCAAATTAATTCTCTATAACTTGGGTCTCTTTTCTCAATCTCCGCTCAATTGCTTTTTTTTCATAAACATAGACAACAATGATAGGAAATAAAAAAATGGATTTATTTGTATATATTTCCCTTAACAAGTATTCACAAAGACGACTATACCACATGCGTCCAGATTGTTTTATCCCATAAAGGGACTTGCTCAATTTAATGGTGTAGTTCTTTCAAGATCTTAAATTATGTGTCTCGTGTAAATTTAATCCATTATGGAGCTTCATGTAAATATAACTATCAAGTGATTCTTACAAATAAGATGTACAACATGCATCATGTAAAAATTAAGTCTTTCATGTGTTACAAAGCTAATTAAATATAGAAAAATACTTATATCCAATACACGTGACTTTGTCTCATCAAAATCAATCTCAAGTCTTTGCAAAAACCCTTGAACAACAAGTCGATTTTTGTATCTCACAGTTTCATTATTTTCATTTTGTTTCACACAAAACTTATTTGTATCCAATTGGTTTCACATCTTGAGGTGTTCTGACTATATGTCCAAAAACTTGTTGCTTGAAAATGAGTTTAATTTTGCTTAAATACATCTTTTCATTTTGGTCGATCCTCACATTACCAACAATCTATAATAAACATTGGTTCATAATCATTGTTATTATTTATCACTTTTAGTGTTATATAATATTCAAAAATATCGTCAATGTCGACTTCATGTTAATTTTATTATATCACATTATAAATATAATTTATCGATATCTCTTTATCTTCATGAATTTCAAGTACCATATTAGTCTTTTCTAAAGTTGGATTGTTTAATATGTTGGAAGACACTTTTAGAGTTTATATATCCTCGCTTGAATCATCTTTATTCTAATTCATTTTATTTTTTGAGAATTTTTATCTTCGAAATCGATTGGTCTTCCACGCTTCATGAGTGGCTGAGACATGTTAGATTGTCAACAAAGACATCCATTTTTGTTGAAACATTAACTTATAATATATATGACTTAGTGACTTAATCACACCTTTTAGATTAATGAATGCAACTAGTAATTAGTGTGCTAAACTTTGCAAATAAATTATCTTTTAAACTTCTAACTCATTGTTTAGCTCGAGGATCAGATCAAGACGAGACATTGATAACTCTTTATCTTATCTTTTTTCCTAACGACTTATTTCCCCCCTTTAACGTTAAAAATTTTGATTCATCAAAATAACAATCAACAAATCGAACTATCACTAAATCTTATGTTATTGCTTCAAGATATGTCATACTAGATGAAGATTCATATTCGAACATATATGTCTAACCTCCTTTAAGAATCCATCATAGGACAATGTGGTAGAGAAATTGGAACAAACATCACCGAGAATTTTTCTTGCCACCCCCCCAGATTCAACCTGGAACCCCCCAATTTTTTTTATTCCAACTTTACCCCTGATGCAATACAAAGGAATTTCTGGACAAAATTTTTGGTACACACACAAAATTTCTGGTACACCCAAATTTTTGAAAGTCTATTTAAAAAATCCGGTATACCAGAAATTACGTAATATCCGGTACACCGAAATTTCCGGAAGTGATTTAAAAAAAATCTGGTATATCGAAAAATACAAATTTTCGTTATACCGGAAATTACGCTTTTCCGGTATACCAGAAATTTCCTTTATAACTGAAATTTCCGGTATGTTTAAATATTACATTTTTCAACAATTGAGATTTTGCCGACACTTTTGGAGAATTCTGATTGCACCGACACTTATGTGTGGTCTAAAATGCATCACTATTTATATAAACATGGGTCTTAGGGTTATTGGATAACACATCTCAATAAAATGTCTCTTCCTCAATTTCTGATTAAGACAAAAGTGTATTACAACGGTAGCAGATCTCTTGTTGAATTTAAACTCCCAGATGGATCTGAGTCCTCCACAACATTGGCTCTATCTATAGTTCATCCCGCTATAGACTCATCTCTGCCTTTGGTCCTCACTGCAAGCAAAATTAAAAAAAAATACAAAAAATATAGCATTTAAAAAAAAATAGAAATACCGAAAATTTCAAAATTTCCAGTATGGATATTATACCGGAAATTTCAAAATTTCTGGTATCATTCCCTAATGATAATACCGAAAATTATGAAATTTCCAGTACGAAAATACTTGATATTTCATAATTTTCGGAAGGCGATACTGGAGATTATGAAATATCTGGTACAATATACCAAAAATTTCCCAAAATATACCGTAAAACTTATTTGATTTCGCAAAATTTTCGATATTGCCTGAAAATTTCCAATATTGTCTTAAAATTTGAAAAATTCAATGTGTACCGTAAATTCTAAAATATGTGATAATGAAAAATGGTTGGATAATATAGTCTTTTCATAGATTTGGAAGAGTGGCAGGTTAAATTTGGGGGTTGGCATGAAAAATTCTCAACATCACATCTCCAAAATGTTCTAAAATCCAATGTGAAATCTCCAACATTCTTTCAAATTTTTGTCACAAAAAAATTCAACAATAAAAAAAATCCTTTCAACACAAAATGTAAGACTATATACGATGAGGTGGCGATTTTTTTTCTTCAATAGTTGAATACTTACAATGAGATGTTGAATAAAATGTTAAATGTGATATGAATTAATTAGTGTTAAAAATATTTAACATGTTGAATGAGGAAAGAGTGGAGCCAAAAGAAATATTTGGCAAATTCTTATTGGTTGTTGTGAATATTTAAATTTTTTATCTCATCCTAATTATTTAGAGTCAATTATTTTATAATAAATCATTTTTTTTTATTTTTTTTTATTTTAACTAAAATTCATTATTTTTTTTTGTCTATAAATAAATATTTGATTCATTTGATTTGGACATAGAAAAAAATTCATTTTTTTCTCTTTAATTATTTTATTTAACCTCTAATAAACTTTTATTTATAGCTATAAATATTTTTTAGTAAATATAAAATTAGAAGAAAAAAAATTAAAATAAATTATTAAATTAGAAAAAAATTAAAATAAATTATTTAACTTTTAATTATTTTGATTTAATTTCAATCAATAATTAATATTAGTATATAATCATAAAAACAAAAATATAAAAGAAAATAAAAATATGAAATAAAAATAATAGAATAGAATGTTGAATTTTATTAAACAAAAAATATTGTATTTATTAAAAAGTGAATGAATGTTGAAATTATTAGGTGAAAGAGAGAAGACGATATAGAATATAAAAAGTGAAAAAAGAAGACGTTAGAATAAAACCATTATATACATAGAGTAAGAGAGTTAGTTTGGTGTTATTAAATTTAGTTTGTTTTGGTGGTTAAAGGATCATCCACGTCACTCCCCGTCCTCCTTTTCTCTCTTTCCATCAAACTCTTGTCATGAATACATTCCATTCAGTCATCAAAGAAAACAAACCAAGCAATGCATTCAAAATTTTCACTAAACAAACAAAACGCAAAAACAATGAGAAGAATCTGGAACCTTCTCTCCCATAACAACCCTAACAAACTCTTCCAATCCGCATTCTCGATCCCAACCAACTTCCACGTCACTCCCTTTCGCTCTTACTGCGATCCATCGCGCATTCCCAATCAAAACCGTCCAGGTTCATCTCTATTCTCTTCAATCATTCTTCAATTCAGTTTATTCAGTTTTACTTTATTCAATTATGAAAATTGTGGAGTTTTGTTTGTTCAGGACCGATTGTGCAGTACAAGAATCTCGTTGATCAAGGGAAGTTGCAGCACGATTCTTATCAAGAGAGTGTTGCTACGGAGCTTCAGAATTTGTTAGCTAGGTTGGAGAATTATGAGAGGGAAATGGAAGAGTATCATGTAAATTTTTTAATTGATTTCTTCATTTGTTAGTGATTTTTTTTTTTGGATGGTGTTTGAATTGGTGCTTTTGTGCTTTGTGATAGGTTAATTTATCTAATTGGGAGAAGAATAGGGAGAATGAGCGGCAAAGGATTCTCATAGAGGAAGTTGAGAAGCAGCAGAACGAGGAGGATTGGTGGAAGAGGTTGAATAATAAAATCACTGAAAGATGGACCGCTGGGTAAATTTTGATTTTTGAGTCAATTTGAAGTGATATTGAACTAGATGCTTAAATTTGTATGTTTTGAGTCAATTGCGTGATTTTAATTCAACTAGATGCTTAAACTTGTATATTTTTAACTGATTATGAGTATTTTTCAAATGAAATAGTGCTTTTGAATCTGGCTTGCATATTTTGAGTCAATTTCAAGTGATTTTGATTCAATTAGATGCTTACACTTGTGTATATTTTTTGTTGATTATGAGCATTTTTGAAGTGGAAATAGTGTTTTCGAATTCGGCTTGTGTTTCCTTGATGCAAATTTACTATTATTTGGGTAGATGGTGTAAAATGTGTTGTGTATTTATTTGTCTGTCATTGATGCAGGAAAAGACCCGGTAATGTGGAGTCAGGAGTAGGAAAATGGGTGTCATATCTTAAACGTGAGAAGAAGCTGGATTCACTAGTTGGTCGCCGCCCAACTGCTCCTCCAGCTCCCAGAGGACTTTACATATATGGCAATGTGGGCAGTGGTATTTACCTTCTTTTATTTTTTGTGTGGGTATATTATCTTCTCCATCTTTAAGATTGTCAAAATTACATTGTTCTTTCCTCTAATTTTAAAAATAGGACTCCCCTCTCTTAGGAGATAAAGGGGTTACTCTTCATTTCATTTAATGAAGACAAGTTTCTTAGGGACCTTTTTTTCGTTATGTTAGTCTCGACATTTTTGGCATCTTGTTTTGAACCTTTATTATTAATTGAGACTTAAGGAAATGAAATGAAGGTTCTTGTTAGTTTCAAAGCTAATAGGGGTCTTTAAAACTTCATTCTGTCTTGTTAAGTTATAAAATCAACAAGACTTTCTAAATTAATTGCTATTGAAAATTGTGAAAAGAAGAAAAATGTCAGATAATTTATTCATAGTCGCCCACCAGTCAGCCCTCCTATTAGGAGACGTGTTTATGTTAAAATGAACTAAAGTATGACACGTTTCATCTTTTAGGGGAGAGGTGCAATTTTTATAATTAGAGGGAAGAGCAATATATTTTAAGCAGCTCTTAGGGTAGAGGTGTATAATTTAATCTTTCCTTTTTCAACTGATGTTTATGTTTACCAGTAATGCTAACTTAAAATGGCTTGATTGAATTTCTAATTATTGTATTGCTTAAAGTTTCTCGTTGTTTCATTTATGTCACTTGTCATAGTTGACATTATTTATTACCTTGTTTCTCATTTTAGCCTTACTTTTCCAGTTTCTTTTCTTATGACTTCCTTGTATTTTTAATGCTGAAGGGAAGACAATGCTGATGGACATGTTTTATAGTGCCACTGAAGGAATAGTTAAACATCGAAGAAGGTATCACTTTCATGAGGTGGGTCTTACTACATTTTTGCCCATAACCTGAGTACTTGTGGTCAGGTTATAGATGTCATTGATGTTATCTTTTGATTTATATGTAATATCTTTCTATAGCAAGACCATTAATCAATGTTGTGAATATAGTGCTGAAATGGATAGACTTAATACTTTTTCCATTCCTTTGCAGGCCATGCTTAGAATAAATGAACATATGCACAAGATATGGAAAAAACAAATGGAAGAGAAGCCTTTGCAGTCAGGCATTGCTGGTTGGATTATGAATCTTCCCTTCGACACTAAAGCTAAAGAGTGGCTGGCTGCAGAAGAAAAATACAAGCAAGAGGTGCAAATGAAAAACATTCTTCCTGCTGTAGCAGATAAGTTTTTTCTAGACCGAGATGGGGACAAAAAGGGAGCTAGCATTTTGTGCTTTGATGAGATACAGGTTAAGGAAAATTATTACTTTGTGTTATAACGTATTCCCTATATTTGCATACTAAATTTTAGATTTTCACATCCTTATTCGTCAATGCTGATTTAACACTTCAGGAATATTCTCTTATATAGTAATCTGTTTGTGTTTTCGGTGAAAACTGGGTGCATCCTCCTTCCCACTGGAGTAGTTTTCCATGATTAATTTCAAAGGATTTTATGGAAGTGTGCATTTTGTGTAGTATGTGTTATTTCATCAGGTTTTTTGGTTAGAAATATTTCCCCACCCATATATTTACTTCAATTCCAGATCATAACTATCTGGTGGAACCCCAATGTAGGCTTTGAACATCTCTGTTCTAAGTTTCAGTTGCATCAGTTTTTGTCCCTCCTTGCTTATTGTTAACATGATTGCTGAGCTTCCTCTGTATTATATCACTTTTTTCTTCATACTTTAACTTGTAAGTTGCAATAATGACCGTGTCTTAATTTTGACGATCTTTATTTCAGACTGTTGATGTATTTGCTATTGTGGCTTTATCTGGAATTCTAAGCAGATTGCTGAGTAGTGGAACTATAATTGTGGCTACAAGTAATCGAGCACCAAAGGACTTGAATGAGGTGTGCTTTTTATTAGCCAATCTTTTTACTTAATGTGTTACCTTTTTCCCTTTGTACTCAATTTTGTTACTGGGGTTTGATAAACTATTAGACTTATTATTATGGCAGTTATGGGCAGCTATGTTTTTATTAATCGTTAGTTATGTTATTTATTTTTAGGAACAAATAGAGAAAGTGGTTATGGGATAGTTATTGAGTGGTTATGGGAGGGAGAGACCAAGACTCTCAAATTTCTTGGATAGGAATTGTCTCATAAAAGTAGTTTATATCTTTCATTAGTTTATGTGTGAATTATGGATTTTCTTTAGTGTGTATAATTATGTTTTTGTCGTAAATGTATTCTGCCATCAATAACAGTCAGTTTCAACAATTAAATCGTATTTGGGTACCAGTTTCTAACATAAACATACTGATGACACCCCTGATGATTTATTTTTTGGGGGATCTAGATTGTAGACCAATTGTAAAAGTGCCTAATATTTGCTTATTGATATTTTCTTCAAAAATGTCTTTTTTGTGTGCAGGCTGGTATGGTTCCAGAAATCTTCCAAACCCTTGTCTCCAAATTGGAAGAACATTGTGATAAGGTGTTGGTTGGCAGTGAAATTGACTACCGTCGTTTTATAGCACAGAGATCAGTAAACCGGGTGAGAATTAATCTGCCATTTCATCACATTTATCTTAACCACAGAAATCTGTCTATGTGGACATTTGATGTCAGTATACTTCTCTTGCAGAATTTTTTGTCAGCCATAGTAGCGGTGGAATTATATCCAACAATAATCTGATCTACTTTTCCTCAAAAAAACTCTTTAAGACACGCATCTCTAGCAATTTTATTTGCAGCTTTGCATGGTCGTTGATTTTTATACACACAAATGTGATGTCAGTAGATTTCGTAGTAATAGAGTAATTTTTGTAGAGAACTATCCAATAATAATTTGAATACTAATTGTTTTTTACGATATGCATCTCTTGGAATTATATTTGAGTATATTGTGGTCATTGATTTCTTATATAAATCATTTATCTTAGATAGTTACTGAAGTTATTAAAAGAAATTTAAAAATTGATAGTTTGGTACCTAGTACAATAGAGGGGAAATCATCAATAGTTTGGGCTTTTAGCTCTTGGCATTGTATTACCTATCAAGGGAAAAGCAAAAGCTTCATTTCTGATGGTGAAAATGTGTGCATTGGCAATTTAGGGGCGACGTGGAATGATCCAATATCGTTAATGGTCCATCAATAAATTCATGTCATTGTGTATATACCCTATTTGATGTAGCCCCATTTCATATTGACTTTGATATTGGTTGGTTTTTGGTTTTTTTAGGGTGTGTAAACATGAGCTGCGATGGTTGATTAACCCTAAAAGAAAATTTGTGGCTCTTTTAGTTAGGTAGGTACATGTACATCAATAGAAAAAGTGATCATTAGTAGTTTACTTTACATCAACAGTCCAGTAAAAGAAAAACAATTCGTATAAATAACTTTATCCAATTTATGAAATACCACTTCAATGTAAACGTGGCTTCTTTATCAATATCAAAGCTATGATGCTGCCAACTCTTTATCAATATCAAAGCTATGATGCTGCCAACTCTTTATCAATATCAAAGCTATGATGCTGCCAACATTACAAATATTGTGCAGCCAAAATACTTCTACTCAACAATATAATCATAGCATGGAAACTGGAAAGTTCCCAAGTGAGGACACTTCCATGTTTGACATCACCAAGCTCTATCCGTAACCAATGTAGGATTTAGGATTTTCCAATACACCACCTCACACCCAACAATATTGTGCTTGGTGCGTGGATATAAATGGTGGGTGGCCTATGGTCCGATCGATAGACTCTGGTACCATACTAGAATTAGAGTTTGGCCTGACTCATCCCTACAAAACCGGCTTGTAAGGTAAAAGGGTGTCACTTTGAATAAACTATTTACACAAGCTCTATACGTAACCAATGTGGGGCTTGTGATTTTCCTAATACAAAAAGTCAATTACATGTTTCTATCCATGCAGTGTATTCTGATAGTTGCATTAACAACGCGTCCTGTTATGCCTAATAGAATTTGAACATAAGGAAATTTAAGTTGGTATAGATATGCAGGAAAACTATTTATGGCCTATTGAAAGGGAAGCCATCAATGAATTTGAGAAAAAGTGGCTCAATGCAACAGGCCGATTTGGAGGAAAAATAATCTCCACCACCATCTCAGTGATGTTTGGAAGGTAATAGGTTTCCCATTTATATTTAATACTGTCAAAATGGATGGATAATAAACATGAATCATATAATTTTTTGTGACAGGACTCTTGAGGTTCCTGAAAGCTGCGAAGGAGTTGCCCGCTTTACATTTGACTATCTATGTGGGCGTCCGGTATGTTCTTTCTCTTTGTTCGGTTGCTGCTTAAAGTATTTTCTCCTAGAAAATATAGTTACTAACATGTTGTTTGGCCTGGGGGAAATGAATGGGATGGAATTATGAGAAGCAAAATTCCTCCTCAATCAATTTTGATTCCCCTTCAATATTGGGGAATTTGGGGGGAGAGAAGATGAGTTTAATTTTTTTTTTATATGTTGACTAAAATATTCTTATATGAACTCTTCTTCTCATCAACCAGACACCGATATGCTATCTATTTTTTCTAGCCACCGCCGCCACTGTCCGACCAAGGTTCTGTCTCCACTCTTATTGGTTAGGCTTTTGTATCAAATTAATCATCCATATTTTATATCTCAATCATATTTAGGAAGTGTTTGTTCTTTCTTTTCTCCTTCTTTTGTGTAAACCCCATAACTTCAACAGTTGGAAACAAATTGAGTTCTAAGTTTGAGTTTGATTATGCTAAGATTGACGAGTCACTAGTCAAACAAGTGGGTCACTGGTCGAGCCACATAAATGAGAGGTTTTTTGTTTGCAAAATATTATATTATAGATATTAGATATCCTATATATAATATTTTTATCATAACAAAAATGGACTCATGCCTTAGTGTGTTGGTAAAAGTAGCTAAATCTAATTTATTGGGTTGCCAGGAAGTAAGCTCTCTCTCACTAACTGTTTTGACTTTCAGTTGGGTGCAGCAGATTATATTGCAGTAGCTGACAACTATCACACCGTTTTCATATCTGATATTCCAGTGATGAGTATGCGCATTCGTGACAAGGTATTAATTTAAAAAGGTTAAGTTGGCCTCAGATGTGTTTATATCTGCTTAATGTATTTTAAGAAATCAAATTGTGGGTTAAAACTTGCTTTCTTGCTCTGCTTCTATATTTCCTAAGTTATTCCTCAAATTCAATGCTTGAAATTTGTGTGCATCAGCCTATGAAGCTCCGACACGCCAATTAGAAGGCGTGTCTCTGCACCGGACACGTATTGGACACCGACATGCATACAACACGTATCAAACACCGACACGCGTACAACACGTATTAGACACGTTTTTGAAGTGTCCAACAAAAAAATTTGAAACGCATCGGACACAGATACGACACACTATTTCAAATATCGGACACGTCAACCTCTCAAATTATCATAATTAAAAAAAATTACATTTCATATTCCACTTTCCCACTATAAAAACAATGCGCATTCCTTGTTTTTTCATCTTCTCTTTTTGTTTTCATCTTCTTTGTTTGTTTTCATCTTCGCCGAACGCTGGTATTCCATCGCCGCCACCGCTGGTATTCCACTCTTTCTCTTCTGATACTCGTTCCTTTTTTTTTCTTTCTTTATTATTTGTCTCTGTTTGTTTCTGTTTCCTGTTGTTCATTACATACGTCGGTGACGGTGTTTCACTCGTGTTATTATTTATAAATTGTTTTTTGTTTATGTTTCATGTTAATTTCATAAATGTTATATGTTAATTAGATATGTTACTTGTCTTTGTTTCACTCATCTTATATGTTAATTACATATAACATATAACTTGTCTTTGGATGAGCCAATCTTAGAGACATGTTTTTTCAATGTGGAGTGACTATGATATGATTTGTATCATTTTGTTTTAGATAATTTTTTTAATTGAAAGTACTCAATTTAAGTCTTTTTTTTTAGTTGATTGAATGTAATAAGTTTAAATAAATATAAATTTTAGTTCACATTTTAGACTTTTCATAAATTGCATTATTTTATTAATATATAAAATACATATAGCCGTGTTCGTGTCCTATGTTTTTTACATTAGCGGTGTCCTCGTGTCTGTGTCGTGTCCCGTGTCCGTGTTTGTGTCCGAGTCCGGGCTTCATAGGCATCAGCCTAAACATTTCAATTTAATATACTTCTCTTTCAAAATTTCCCTACCTTATTTTGAGCAAAAAAGCATTTTCTACTTTTTAGGCACGGAGATTTATCACTCTTATTGACGAGTTATACAATCACCATTCTTGTCTATGTTGCTTGGCATCCTCTTCGATCGATGAATTATTTCAAGGAACCGAGGAAGGCACACTTTTTGACTTGGAGAGGTAATTTTGTCCGTCTGTATGAGACTTATGATGCATTTTGTCTGTTTGTATGAGATTTATAATGCCTTTTGGATTACAAAGTACAAATGCTTTGGATCTGCTGAAGTAATGGTGTGATAATTGTATTTACCTTTTTTGTCACTTAACTGTCGATATCTAATCCCATGGTTGATACTGATGCTTGTTGCGTTTTAGCTGAGAATAGGTGGTTTCTAATTGGAAATATTTACATTAAATTCCCAATTCTAGATTGTTTGTTGATGTTGTTGCTTGACAAACTCCTTTTTAAAAAAATATTGTAATTTGTAAAAACTTATTATAGATATTTATTTCCTCAACCAACCATGTCAGGCCTATATATATTAAGATGGGACCTGGAAAGTGTAATCTTCTAGAATATCAAACATAGAGATGTTTAGACTGGACAGAGTTGTTATCAAGATGGAAATTCTGTTAAGATCAGTTATAAAATAGGGGAAGATGTATAAAGAAATTATTGGAACATGTATAAGGAAATTATCAAATTCCTTGTAAAATAGATCTTCTCTTGACAATTTGTGGTTATAACTAGTAGTTGCATATGTTTAATTGGAAGATGATTCTCTTAATGATGTATTAACCAACACTGACTGTCAGATTTGCTTTTGATTGAAATTTAGCTGTCTTAATTAAATAATGCATTGGTAACTGAACCTCCTCGCTCTTGTGGTTCCAGTTTCCAGTTTGAAACAGAAGCTGAAGGCAGTAAACTTCGCCGTGATGTCTTAGCAGAAGGCAACGTGGGCTCAGGAGGTACCCCTGTTGGCATCACATCCATACTATCTGGTCAGGAAGAGATGTTTACTTTTCAGAGAGCTGTGAGTAATGACCATTCCTGTATTTCTTTTTCTTCACTGCAAATACTGTAATGGCATTTCATAGTAAATTTTCTTGCAAAAGAACCATCTTTTAAGAGTATGTTTCAACAGATTTGACATGTCATATTATTGACTATCTACTGTGTCAAGTATATGATAGAGAGTAATGATACTTCAACAGACTCTTTTTGGGCCTCAAAAAACTTCTGCCTGACTGCGACGTTATCCAAAGGCTCGGTTAAGTGTTTATAAAGGATTTGCGAGGATAAAAACTGTGCAGCTATCATGACTATATAAGAATATATGCAGCTGATTAATTTCTATTGTGATTTATCTTGTAAACTAAATTTCTAATAGACCAGTCAGTTCTAAATGTGTTGATTATGTGTCCTAACTTCTTTATATTGCTCTGGAGCTTTGAAAGATCAACTAAGAAGAAATTATTAACGTTGATTTTTCTCTGTAGGTCTCACGCCTGATTGAAATGCAAACTCCATTATACTTGGATGGAGTCAGTGATTTTCATCCTTATTTTCAGAGGCATCATGAAAAAAATCAAATAAATTGTGACAGCTTACTGTCTGAGTCATCATCAATTTGAAAGTAAGTTTTTGTATTATACTACGAAATACACCAAATTGACTTTTCTACACTATACATGTAACTATTAGTAACCACATGTAAAAGATTTCTCTATTTTTTTTGAAAAATTGTTTTTCGAAGCCCTCCCTTCCCCTTCCCTCCCAAACAAAGTCTAAGGAAATGATACCTCCTTCTTATTTGATTTCTCCTACCATGGCTCATTGGATGGTTTGCCATATCAATTGATGACTGACTCTCCACTAGCAACTTGATTTGCTCACAGTTGTTCACATTCAACTCTTCAAGCAACATTTTCAACCAAAGTGCTTGACATGAAGCATATGAGGTTGCAACATAATATGTCTCGCATGAAAACAACACCAAAATTCTTTGATTCTTTGAACTCCATGAGATTGGTGTTAAGCCAAGCATGAACAACTAACCATATGTGCTCTTTCTACCATCTTGATCACCATTCCAATCTGAATCTGAACAACCACACACCTTGGCTTCCATTATTGTGTTTTGTTCATTTGGCATGAGTACTACATGGTTTGTTGTACCTCTAATGTCTTTAGGATCTTCTTTGCTGCAATTAGATGATATAGTCTTGGTTTCTCCATGAATCTACTAATCAATCCTACATTATGACAAATAGTAAGGCCTTGTATTACAAATATGCTTCAATTAGCCAATGATATGCCAGTACACAGTGATATCCTTCAGTTTATCATCTCACTCATTCTTCAATTTGATGTCGGTCTCCAAATGTGTGTTTACATGATTGCAATTGTTCACCTTGAACTTCTTCGGGATGTCTTTTGCATATTTCTTTTGATGCAAGAAAACTCCAAGTCTTGTGTTCACAATTTTTATTCTTAGGAAGTAGGCCAAATTTCTCAAGTCTGACATCTCAAACTCATTCTTCATGTTTACCTTGAACTTTGCTAATCCATCATCATTATAACTTGTGACCAATAGACCATCCACATAGAGACGTATTATGAATTGGTGAGGTTGTGTTTGCTGTAACATACATCTTGAATAGATGTCCAACCAAGAGGCTAGAATGGATCACACCATAAGAATGTCTGTTTGGTGTTAAGCCAAGTTTAAGCCACTTAAAGGTGTTTGGGTCTATTGCACATAGACATGTGCCTGACCAGTTGAGAAGAAAGTTTGATGGCAAATCAAGCCAAATGGTCTTGATCGGCTATCATTCAACTAGTGGCTACAAGTTGTTTGATCCTATGAATATGCATATTGTGATTAGCATGGATGAACTTAAAGAATGAGATTGAAATAATAATGCCAAGAAGGATTTAGTGAGAATCATGTGTGATGAACCAAGTTGTGAAACTGATAAGGAGATATAATCATATGGTACCAAGGGTCAAGCAAGCACCACCAGAACTCAAAGGACTAGAAACATGTCAAAGGACTAGAAACATGTCAGCGAGGTTGCAAGATTATGTGATCACATCAAATGATGTGGTCAATGGTGAAGGTGAATTGGTACATTATGCCTTTTATGTAGACATTGAGCTTGTAAATGTGAGTCAAGTATTGAAGGATTGAAAGTGGATGAATGCTATGTTAGAGGAGACGAAATCCATAGAGGTCAACAAAACTTGGTCACTAATTGAATGACCACAAGGAAAGAAATCAATTGATGTGAAGTGGGTGTACAAGGTGAAGTTAAACCCCAAAGGAGGTGACCAAGCACAAAGCAGAAGTTGTGGCCAAATGATTTCTTCAAAGAGAAGGTATTGATTTTTGATGAGGTTTTTGTACTAGTTGTGAGGATTGAAACAATCAGGTTGGTTGTTGACTTAGAAAATATGAGCAACTGGTCAATGTGTCAGATGGATGTTTGTGTCACAATCAGTTGGTTTTGAGAAGGAAGGCTAAGAAAGCACATTGTACAAACTGCATAAGGCATTGTATAGTCTTAAACAAGCTCTAAGAGTTTGGAATAAGAAGATTGATGAATTTCTAAAAGAAAAGTAATTTGTAAAGTGTACAACTGAGCATGATGTGTATGTCAAAAGGAGAAAATGTGAGTTGCTAATACTTTGTCTCTATGTAGAAGATCTGTTAATCACAAGCAATTGCAAGAGATTGGAGATTTCAAAATTGACTTGAGCAAGGAATTTGAGATGTCTGATCTTGGCAACATCTCATAATTCCTTTGAATTGAGTTCTACAAATATGGTAGGGGGTTGATAATGCACCAAAGAAGATATGCTAGTGAGATACTCAATAGATTTGAGATGGAGGATTGTAATCATGCTTCAACACCAGTTGAACCAAGACTGCAATTGACAAAGGATTCAAATGAAGACGATGTTGATCTAACAGAATATAGAAGACTTGTTGGGTCATTGATATATCTTTGTCACATAAGGCCTGACCTAGCATACATTGTAGGCATGGTGAGTAGATTCATGCAGAATGAAACAACCGACTGAAAATCACCTGATAATATATCAATGAAGTCGCCACCGAATGTTTTTTATCCTACAGGAGAGAAAGGTAAACATCGAGTAAACCTGAGAAGGATGAAATCACGATCAAACGACCGAGAGATCGAGTAAGGGAGTCTGTTACGCGAGGGAAAGGTATTAGCACCCCACACGCCCGTAGTACTCTACGGTATCCACTCTTGTTATCTATCTAATGGGTGTATAAAGTCTAAAACTAAAGCTTGAAATAAGAAAAGGGATGCATGAAAAAAGAAAACACGGGGAAAAGAAGGAAGTATTTACAAATTTTGCTCTGCTGAGCCCCGTGACCAGATGCCTACGTATTCCTTTTAAGGAATCAAAGCGTCGTAGTTCGGCTCAATAATATCCGTTTATTTTGTATTTTTTAATTGAACGGTGTTAAATTCAATCATTCCACCGCTGCTCGACTGTTGGAGACTCACGCACTGTAGTGGAAAGGAATTAACATATTCTTAGAAGAGAAAAGTCGAATGGCGAAAAAAAATGAATTAGTAGATGTTTTTTTACCATGAAAAGAATTTTTGTAATGTTAGCATGTTTTATACATTTATCAAGAAAAAGAAGTTTTAATTTTAAATGCAATGATGCAAAAAGAGAAAGAAAAGAGTCTAAGGAAAACTAACCTAGCTCTAATCTTAATGTTATCATGCAATGGTGGTCATACGGTCCGGATTAACAAAAGGGAAACATTTACCTAATGCTAGCATGCATAGTTGGAAATCTAATGTCTATCTCGAACACTAACCTAAAAGAGTCGAGAAAACCATAAGGGAGCATGGTATATACAAAGGTAACAAACAAACAATGATGCATATACATGGCGAAAGTAATGTATCTCAAACAATCTCAAACAAAAGAGCACATACATGGTGAGAGTAGTGCGCACTAGCTCAAGCAAATTGGCATAACCAAGATATCGAAGATCGAGGTAGGAAACATAGGGGAACCTGAGAAATGCTTTAGCCAAGGGGAGCGAATCACCCGAAGCAAACAAGCGGGAATGGGATAAAATAAAAAGAAGAGAAATGCTTTAGCTAAGGGGAGCGCATCACCCGAGGCAAACAAGCGGGAATAGGATGAAGAAATAAAAATGTGATGTCCAAAGCGACTAAGCACCTAACTAAGATATAGGAGATCGAGGTAGAAGATAGAAGATAATATGAGCAATCACGGAGTGTCAGCATTGACCAATGCGAATTCCTGACAAAGTGCGGGGGTTCGATTGCAAAACCCTTTTCCACCTGACCGACTCGATACACATGACCTGCACAACTCCGAAGCATCGACGTACAACACGAGCTAAGGATGACTGACTAAATGTGTGGGGGTTGATTGCGAACCCTCTCCGCTCGCCTCCTTTTGAGGACTTCAATGGGGGATGGGGAATATATGCGAGCATAAATGTAAACACGTGCGGAATACCTACTTCAAAGGTAGGATTTTAAACAATCACAAATAGCATACAGAAAGCGGTGCCTGCTACAGGACTTTAAACAGCGACTTCGAGCGCACGCTCTTTATTTCCTACTTCTCATGATATCTAGAAAGTAGTAAAGTGCTGAAATGAGGTAAATAAGAGAAAATACCAAACAGATATCAAACAAAGCGCTCAATAACAAAGAAACCCGGAATACTTTGAGTAAGCTTCACCAAGCAATAGAGAAGAGTCAGAAATTAAATGTTCGGAGTGAGTGTCGAAATATCATCAATGTGAAAATAAATCACAATCGAAAACTCAAGCATAATCGCATATCGCACAATAAACCTGTATAAGACTCAAATCTCAACAAGCAAAGATGAATCACAAGTCTCGAGTAACAAAATGATTACTAAACCTAATCGATAATAAAAAAATTCTAATCAAAATTCTAACAATAAATTCTAGAAAAAAATCTATTAAAAATTAAAGAATTAGTTCCTAAATCACTTTAAAAAAAACTAACAAGTTTTTATTGATTTTGTAATTTAATCTTATTATAGAAAAATCCAAAAGAAATCCTAAATTTAAGAAAGAAAATAGTGAGATCAGGGGGGTGTCAAATTGAATCAGTGTTATTGAATTAGAGATAGGTTTCTTCCGTAACACAAGCTATCATGCTGCTAAAAAAAACTAGCGGATGGACCTATGGAATAATAACACGGTCCAGGAAAAGAGTCCAGTTCACGATTATCAACCAATTTTCTTATTTTTTTAAGCATGAATCACATTATTATGCATTTATTCAATTTACATTAACAAAAATAAATTAAAATAAAACAAGAGGGACGGAATATAATGATGTATATTTAGGGTTGAAAATATACGTGGCTTCTCAACTTCATATAAACACAGATCTTCTTCGTCAAAAATTCAACAACAGCGCTTTCTCCCCTCCGGTAAACCACCGCCAGGACCATCCCTATCACCATCTAGCAACACCAGTTGTCACCATAGTCCATCACGCACCAACCTTATTGTTCCGAGCCTTTCTTCGTTTCACCCTTAGATTAGCTGAAGATCTTCGATTGGAGCCTCAGTCGGAAACTCTAGATCAGGAATTTCACAAGGGCGGTGGAGGTATCACACACATCAACTAGCAAGAATCCGAAAGATTACACATCAGTCAAGAAGTTCGGACAACTTATCGATCAGAGTCCGTCCGACGCGGTTTTCATGGCGATGATGATGATGAGAAGACCAGCGGAAGATCTTCAATGATTCAGGTATACGATTTTGTTCCATGCTTCGAATAGTATTTTCCCGCCCGTCCTTTTTCTACTTCTTTCGGATTTTTGTGTGCCTCTGAGCGGTTATTCATGTCGCGTTTGTGAGGGTGACAGAGGGAGATGTTGTTGAAAGTAATTCCTTGTGTCGAAGCAGTTTGTTTGACCGAGACAAGAGAGTGTCGAAGTAGGTGTGTTGAAAAATGCTACATACAAATTTGATTTAGATCTAAAATAGATAGATTTGATTTAGTACTAAAATATGTATTTTGAGCTTTTATAGTTTTGGACTTTGGTTTAAGAGCAAGCTAACATAAATCTATAAATAGAGGGAGTAACCCCTAATTTTGTAATGAAGTCAATTCATTGTAATCACTGAATTTGCAGTTGCAAGTGATTAATAAAGTTTTTCACAGTTTATGGGCAGAGAGAAACTCTGTAGAAAATAATTGTCTTTTTTTTGTTCTCATAATTCATTGTCATTGTGTGAACCTGTGTCGACTGCAACATATATTTTGAACAGATGTCCTACGAAGAAGTCAGAAGGAATTACTCCAGAAGAATGTTGGTCTGGTGTGAAGCCTAGCTTGAGTCATCTGAAGGTATTTGGATCTATGGCACATAGACATGTGTCAGATCAGTTGAGAAGAAAACTTGATGACAAGTCGAGTCAAATGATTCTAGTTGGATATCATTCGACAGGAGGTTACAAGTTGTTCGATCCAGTGAACAAGCAGATTGTGATCAGCAAGGACGTGATCATAGATGAGCTTAAAGAACGGGATTGGACTGAAAATGTCAAGAAAGATACAGCGGGAATCCTACTTGAAGAACCATAAACTCAAGTCGAAAGAGAAGTTTGACAAGAAGAACCAACGATTATAGATCAATCAAGTACAAGCAGACCTCAAAGAACAAGACGCGTGCCTGCAAGATTGCAAGATTGTGTGGTTACATCAGATGATATGATAGATAATGAATGTGAGTTGGTACATTATGCTTTCTATGCAGATGTCGAACCTGTCAATGCAGCTGAAGCATTGAAGGATTCGAAGTGGGTGAAAGCGATAAACGAAGAACTCCATAGCACATGGTCGAAACAAGTACATCGAAATGAGGTTCCACTATCTTCGAGAGCAAGTAGCAGATGGGAAGATGAATTTGGAACACTGCAGAACTGAGAATCAGATTGCAGACATCATGACAAAGGGTGTGCAGGTCTAAGTATTTTGAAGACTAAGAGCTATGATGAATGTAGATAGCTTAGACACAATGAATTAGGTGGTGTGTTGAAAGTAATTCCTTGTGTCGAAGCAATTTGTTTGACAGAGACAGGGGAGTGTCGAAGTAGGTGTGTCGAAAATGCTACACACAGATTTGACTTGTTTAAGGTTTAGATATATTTGATTTAGATCTAAAATAGATAAATTTGATTTAGTACCAAAATAGATATTTTGGACTTTTATAGTTTTGGGCTTTGGCTTAGGAGCAAGCTAACCTAAATCTATAAATAGAGGGAGTAAACCCTAATTTTGTAATGAAGTCAATTCATTGTAATCACAAAATTTGCAGTTGCAAGTGATTAATAAAGTTTTCCACAGTTTATGGCCAGAGAGAAACTTTACAGAAAATAATTGTCTTCTTTCTTTTCTTTTCTGTTCTCATAATTCATTGGCATTGTGTGGGAATATCAATCTTGTTCATCAAGATTAATAGAAATTCATCATAGATATTTGATGGATTTTCAAGAGATGCGGATTCGGTGATTCTCCAATGATTGAAGGGTTGAAGCCACTGAAGATAAAGGTTGAAACGTTGAGAGAATCAGAGAGAGAATGAAGATGGAACATACTGGTTGGAGAATATGCAGAAGCTGATGAAGGATCTCGTTGAAGAATCTTGCAGATTCAAGGTGGATGATGAATGTTGCTACAAAAGATGACGGTAATTCGATGAAGATCGATGATTGAAGATGCTTGAAGCAGAGATTTCAGAGTTTCTTTGAGAGATTTTTTGTTTTGGTGATTCTTCTGTGATATGAAGAATGAATCGTGAAAGGTGAGATTTTTTGTATCTATACTCTGTTAGAGTTTGTTAGGCTTGAATAAATCTAAACCCTAGGATTGAATTGAATCAATTAGACAAATGGAGCGTGAGGATTATGCTAGTTATCTCATTTTGTTTTGTATTTGAGTTAGTTATAGAATTAGTTAAGCTATGATTTAATTTCACAATTTTTTCTCTGAACTGAGATGTGGTTGAACCGAAAATCCAATTGACTTTGGTATTCTGAACAGGTTTATTGTTTTCTACAGAGCTATTTCTTTGTACAACAGGTGCTGGTGTCGAACGCTTGGTTCAAGAACAACACATTAAAGAAATATGAAGTTACAACGGAGCATGGTCATTTGGAATGTGAATCCATTTAGAATAGGTTCACAACAATAGGATTCACGTATGTAATCTTCATTTGTGTAATGGGCATAATGCGTTGAATATATCTTGGTGAATGCATCTTGAAATCTCTGTATGGACTTTATATACTTGAATAAAATTTGATTGAACAACCATCTTGAATCAATTTGAGTTTTGGATGATGAATTATGAGTGGTGTTTGATTAATAATGAACTTGAATGGTGATATTATAACTTGCCATTTCTTGTCGATGATCTTCAAGTTCCCAAATCACCATTTCACTTGAACTTTGCTTAACTAAAGCGATGTAAGGCAAGAGCTCTTTTTCCTTCAAATGAATTTGCACTTTCAAGTCCTTACTATCAATAAGATCAAGAATCAACATTTGGCTTGATTTTGATCCAAAACCTTTTGGAAATAATCCAACGCAATTAATGCAGAACTCCATGTCCAAACTCCTCTTTTTGAATGAAGTCCTTCAAAACAAAACTTGCATCCTAAGTAAAATGATATCAACCTCACTGAATGAACAAAACTCGGTTAACTCTCAACCACAAGTGATATCAAGTGATGTCGTCTGACTAAACAAACTTGTAGAGAAGTAAAACCCTCACAAAAGAAACTCCATGGCCATCACATTAATGAGGAAATAAACCCTAATTCACATTATACTTGCAAACTTGTAGAAGAAACATCTCTATCCACAATTTACATTAATTCCACGTATATGTTACAAGCTCCTTGGAATGAAATCTAATCGAATGACTTGTATTACAAGCTACAATGAAACCAGACACTTCATATCATGGACAAACCCTAGTATTTGAGAAAGAAGTCTTTGATGATTATGAGACCAAAGTCTGGAGATTTATTTGATGACCATGAGCCTATAGGAGCCAACCCTAATTCCATGAACTTCAATTGAAGAATCTTGCCAAGTTCAAGCACAAACGAATAAGAAACCTTAATTTCACGCTTCATTGCTTACAAAAGAAATCTGATACATCAGACCTTATATTGGACATGTACACCTCAAATCGGTTGTAAAATGATAGCTTGTATGCCCATTGAACTCTTGAACCTCAGACACTTTATTGAATAAAAATGCATGCTATGTTAGTGACAATGACCTAATGGTAAGATGTGAATGCAATGCTAAGCTTAAGCCAGATAAAAGAAAATTAGGAGGATAAATTTTGGGGTGCAATACAGAAGTCAAATTTGTCACATCTTGCATCCACAAAGAGGATATAAAGGTATTTTAAATGCACACTAGACTATGAAATATTTTTCCCAGCAGCAGATGTAGGAAAAAAGTGCAGACTTATGGGATACACTGATTCAAGTTGGTGTAGTGATGGTGAGGATATAAAGTCTACAATTGGTTATGTGTTTATGTTGGATGGTGCACCAGTTGCTTGGAACTCAAGAAAGGAATCAATAGTAGTATTGTCATCATGTGAAGCAGAATACATAGCAACCTCCCTTTGTGTCTGTAAAGCAATATGCTAATTGATGAGATTGAAGGCAATGATCATGGAGCTATGACTATGAGAATTGACAACATGCCTGTTATCAATGTAACTTGGCCAATAATCGAATTGCACGTGGAAGGAATAAGCATATTAAAATGATATTCCACTATCTTAGAGAACAAGTAAGCAATGGAAGGTTGTGCTTGGAGCATTGCATAAGTGAGAATCAAATAATCGATATTATGTCCAAAGTTGAGCAAGTTGAATTGTTCAAAGATTGAGAAGCATGATGAATGTTGAAAGTTTAAACATAGTGAATTAGGTGGCATTGAAAGTATAATTCACAATGTTACGTGTTACTTAGAAAACAAGTAACTAACTAGTTAGTTGTGGAAACTCTGTTATATAACAAAATTTGACTTAGGAAGTTAGTTACGGCAAAAGGGAGATTAGTTGGTGTATAAGTAATCTCAAGATATATAGTTTTCAAACTTTGTAAAAATTGAGTTAATGCAATATACTCTCTTCTTCCTCCATATTCTCTTTTTTTCTTCTAATCTTTTTCTTTTCAACTCTCAAAGTGTATAGTATAAGAATAAGTTTGAACATTAGAACCTTGTGTGTATGCATTACTTGAGCGAAAAGCATTTGTACTTGTGGTTGCATCAATTGAGTGAAGATTGATCTTGTTCTCGAAAGACTTGTTCCAACAAAATCCAGTTGTAGACAACAATACAAGTCAAGCAATAGATATTCCTATCTTAGACTAAATATGTTGCTGCAAACATCGATCTAGGTATACAAAGCTTAAACCAAACTAGTATTGACAATGTTTACAAAACATGTATTCTATTCTACTGTGATTGATGGGGGTAATTCCATCCTGCAACTGAAGAGTAACCTCCACGGTAAGACTTGTAGCCTTTGAAGTTCATTAAACTAATTTTTCCATTGAACTCCCATACCCTTATGTTTACAAATGCCACAACTTTAAAGGTTATTTGAATGATCACAATAGATTCTCGTTTGGCTATGGATTTCATTGAATTCAATAGTTCGTTGGATCTTGAGTTTGCATGAATGAGTTGCTAGAAGAAACTTAAAAGAGATTTGAGAAGAAAAGTAGCAACAACTTCATGTTTCCTATTAGGCTATAAGTGTGTCTAAAATTTATTTTTGGATAACATCAATGTTATTGTCATTTTCCTTTATTTATTTTTTCAAATAATTTATCTGATAATTAACTAGTGTTGTGGAAACTAGAGGGTCTTGTCGCGGATAATTAGTAGTATTGCCAATAATTAACGAATGTTGCTAAAAATGAGGTTGCAATTGGTCATCAAATTTCTGACCAAATTATTTTGTTATGATTTGTAGTGTATGGATGACTCTGTATTTTAATTAGAGAATTTTTCTTTATATTTAATAGTGGTAAAAATTATTTATGAAAATCTAAAAATATTTTTCAAAAATGCACTTCCAAACGCACCTATCAGCATGTTTCGGATGTCCATCTCTGAAGCCACCCTTTTCCCATCTTCCCTAGTGTACTTGAAAGTCTCATTAAAATTTTTGTTATCATGTGCGTATTGAACAAACTCCAAATTTATCTAATAAATGTCAAAAATAGAAAAACAGAATTCTTTAATGAGAAGCAATATGTATTGTCGTCTTATAGGAATGAGACGCATGATCATCAATGGGAATAAACACCTAAGTAAGTTGCGTGGCATTCCTCCGGAACTCTAAAAATTAGAGAAGAACAAGGTTATAATATGGATTTAGGGGTTCAAGGGGTTTATTTGTTAAAAAGAAGGAGAGAATTGAATCGTAGTTTTGGAACGATCGTGAGACAGAGAGAGGTAGAGGAGAAAAGCTAGGGTTTGGGAAAGATTTTTATGGAAGAAGAGGAGAAAAGCTCAAGCTTGAGAACCATTATTCTAAAGTAAGGGTGGGGTTTCGACTCTCTAATAGGTGGTATAATTGTGGGTAGATGGTGATATCGAATGTTAGGTTTTGGATGTAGATTGTTTGTGAAATTGATTGTTATAAATGGTTGAAATTGGTGAAATTGATGTGATAATTTGGTTAGAATTGCTATGTATGATGTTGGTTGGGAATTATAGAAATTTGTATGTTTTAATGTGTTTGCAAAAGTGATTTTGGGTATGAAAGTGATTTTCGTAACATAAAAATATGTTTTTTTTACTCTGGTACAGTGGGAATCGGTTACGGTATATGTAACCGATTACTGCGTTGAAAAACAACATTTCTGAGTGTTTTAGCGCAGTGTACCCGGGTACCATATATAGTGTACCCGGTTATACAATGAGCAAAAGTGAAAAATTATAATTTTCAAAAACTCATAACTTTTGACTCGGGTGTCGGTTTGATGCACCGTTGGAAAACTAATACAATGTATTTTCTTGTAAAAATGGTTTCAAGTTGTAGAACTAAATTTAATTGGTGTGTAAAGATGTTTTGTTGTATCAGTGCCTATTGTTGTAGGTTGTCGTTGTTGGTAAATATTGTAAAACTTCAAAAATTTATAACTTGAGTTTCTGGTATTTGATTGACGCGTAGTTCGGATTGTTGGAACACTGGTTTAATGTACTTTCTCTTAAAAATATTTTCAGTACCAAAATTCCAACTATTTGATGTGTGGAAGGGTGTTTCGTACTGTCGAGTTATGTCGTTTTGTGAAATGTATGTAAATGCTTTGTATAGTAGATTAATTGAGAATGTCCTATTTTAATGATGAATTTGTTGTTGTTGTGGAATTAATCATGAGGATTTTGGTGTTGATGTGATGTGATATTTTTTATCTGATGATAATTACTTTGGTGAAGGTTTATGTCTTGTGTGTTAATGTTGTATTAAGTGTGATGCATATTATTGTGATTGAACGTGATGGTGTTGTACAAATGATGTATGAATGAATTGCATAAATATTACATGATGATGTTGTTTTTGTTGGCCTGGATTGGCGAATTGTTGAAGGCTTATGCCTCGTGGTTACATAATTGTGTTCTTGCATGTTACATATACGCATCGTTGAGGGCTTATGCCATGTTGTTGGCCTGGATTAGCAAAATGTTGAAGGCTTATGCCCTGGCCTGTATTGGTAAATATTGAGGGTTTATGCTTTGGCCTTAGATGGAAATTTCAGTGAGGGCTTATGCCCTGATGGTACCACATGCATTTTGCATAAGTGTCAGTCGTATTGTATTTTGTTGAATTGTTGATATAACGATGAAGTTGAGTTGTATAGTTGGTATGTGTTGTATGATGGATGATGATAATTATGTATGTACTTGTATAATCATTATGAATTGTAATTGATGATTGTTGAGTTTGGAATCTTGCAGGATATATCTATCATATACTTACGATTATATAACTTATTATATTATTGTGATATCTCACCCTTTTGTTGGAATGATGCTTTTTACGGCATTGCTCAGGTATCGAAGAATAGAGCCATTATCAACCGAGGAGTCTTACCTAGTATGCGTATATTGAGTCAGTGTCAGATCTGATACGTGACACTGGGGATGAACCCTTGCTTGTCTTGTTTAGTTGTTATTTTATTTTGAAGAATTATTGGAGTATTGTAAACTCTCTTTCATTTGATTATATGTTGGTTTAGGATTGGTTGAAGATATTGAATGATAAACATGATTTCTTTTCCGCTGCATTAATAAAGTTGAAGTTTGAGAACTATGTTAAAAATATTGTCAGTTCATCCGAAAGTTTGTTATGTACTTGTCTATTTATACTTGAGCAAGTTTTTGATATGTTGAAAGATGTGGCATCTTATTCTTGGTGTTTTGATTTAAAAATTAATTCACTCTGATTTTGTTAAATTATCGATGGAAAAATAGGGTGTTACACCTGTGACCTCCTATGCCGATTGTACTGCGTCGCACTAGATGTCTCCTTAACCATCCTCCCAACTATAGCAACTGCCTCA